CCTCAGGTCCTGTTCCTGTGCGCTGACCTCGGCCTCCGCCTCCTCGCCCCGCTGATGCCCTTCCTGGCTGAAGAGCTCTGGCAGAGGCTGCCCCCCAGGCCCGGCTGCCCCCTTGCTCCCAGCGTCTCGGTTGCCCCCTACCCCAGTGCGCGAAGCTTGGTGAGTCACAGGCACCCGGCACCTTGGAGTGGGACAGCGGGGGAGCTTTGCTGCTGTGGCTCATTCGCCGCAATAGTTTGTACTTCGCCGTAGAGCCTTGGGGAGGATGGGTCGTTGCGGCAGCCTTGGCGGGATGACCCTGGGGTCTCAGGGGCAGTATTAGCATGGTGGTCAAGAGCAGGACGCTGTTGCTAGACTGATACCAGCTGTGGGACTGTGCCTCAGTTTCCGCCATCTTTAAAATGGGGACAATAATAGTACATGTCATAGTTGTGATAAGGGTTAGATGAGTTGAAAGGAGGGTGTCCCAAAAATCTCAGTGCAGCTTTGATAACTTCAGAAGGATAAATGCTGCAAAAAATTATTTTAAAGTTCAACTATTTACATTTTTTTTATGCTTATTTGGTTTGTGAAGTTTGACTGATACATTTAAAATTTTAGTTTCTCTTTGGTTGTTAGCCGTCTCCAATCAGAGCACTGATCATCTAAAACCTCTTAGATGACTCTTAACTCTCTGCCATGTTTGGGCTGGCGGATGTTGTGTGTGCCGTTGAGGACAGATCCTGTTGCCTGAGGAGATGGGATGGCTGGGTCGGGGATGGAGCTCAGGAGGGTTGGTACCGAGTCTCCCAGGACCCCCTTTGCCAACTCTGGGTGCCCCGTTGCCAGGAGCACTGGCGCCAGCCCGAGCTGGAGCGGCGCTTCTCCCGGGTCCAGGAGGCCGTGCAGGCGCTGAGGGCTCTCCGAGCCACGTACCAGCTCACCAAGGCCCGGCCCCGAGGTGAGGCGCGTCTGGGCTCCCGGGTCCCTGCGGGAAGCTGGGGCTGGCGGGGAAAAGGGGGGACCTGGAGGGCAGATCCCCATCAGGAGGTGCTGGATGGGAAGGAGGCAGAGGCCATGACCCCGATGGTTTCCCTCACCTCTCCAGTGCTGCTGCAGAGCTCTGAGCCTGGGGAACAGGACCTCTTCGAGGCCTTCCTTGAGCCCCTGGGCACCCTGGGCCACTGTGGGGCCGTGGGCCTCTTACCCCCAGGCGCAGCAGCTCCCTCTGGCTGGGCCCAGGCTCCACTAAGTGACACAGTTCAGGTCTACATGGAGCTGCAGGTGACCAGAGGGGATGGGAGGGGAGTGGAGGGGAGGGTTGGAAAGAATGTTGGGAGGAAGGGAAGGGCTGGGCTCTATAAAGTGGGGAGGGGCCTTAGAATGGAGAGGATGGAGGCCTTGGGCAGGCTGCAGATGCCTGAGCCTTTGCACTGTTCTTGCCCAGGGCCTGGTGGACCCCCAGACCCATCTACCTCTGCTAGCCGCCCGAAGGCACAAGTTGCAGAAGCAGCTTGATGGCCTCATAGCCAGGACCCCACTCGAAGGGGAGGCAGAGACTCAGAGGCAGCAAAAGGTGAGGCTCGGGGGAGGCTCACTGGGGGAATGTGGGCCGGGGCAGTGGGCCTCACACCTGGGTCCCCACCTCCCCTCCTCGCCCAGCTTTCTTCCCTCCAGTCAGAGCTGTCAAAACTGGACGGGGCGGCCTCGCACCTCCGGCAGCTGATGGATGAGTCTCCAGCCCCAAGGGGCTCTGAGCATTAACTCTCCGTCCCTGAGGACAACAGATTGGTCAGCCATCAGGGTGCAGTGGGACATCAGAGACCACGTGGTCCACCGCCTTCATTTTGTAAATGAGGAAACAGACTGGCTTGGTCGCAGTGACTGTGGGGTCCCCGGGATGCTTACGTTAGTGCCCAGCCTCCCTCCTGTGCAGTCCCACCGAGTTTGGGAATGAGGGGATTCAGATAAACTTTAAAAATCCCAAACATGTCTGCTGTAGTCCTTTTATCCCCCTTTCCCCTAGTGGTGACTTTCTGGCGTCTCAGTTGTCCCCTGAGAGCTTGGTCTGGGGAAAGAGGAGGGCTTCCTCTCTGGAGGAAGAGGAGCTTTCTAGAAAGGGGTGGGAGGAGGGTACAGTGCCCTGGGGCCACCTGCTTCCTGACTATAGTGGGCTGGGCTCTGCAGGCCCTTCCCCTCCATGTCTCACCAAACGGGAGCCTCCCTGCTCCCTGGCTTGTCCCCAGAGGTGCGAAGCAGGGATTCCCCCAGGCCTGAGGGGCCGTAGGGTGTCCTGGGGATGGCGTGTACCCGAGACCCCAGTGCCAGAGACCCTGCCCAGCCCCCGACTGAGTCACACACTCACATGGGCACAGCCGCCTTACCCACCCAAACACCACCTCATCTCAGTGGCATTCAGGGGCCTGGCCTTCCCATGCGCAAGGCACATTCTGTGCAGCAGCTCCGGGTGGCTACGTATGGCGAGCCTGCCCTGGGCTGGTCTTCCGTGGTGCCAGATGTGCGATGCCACTTAATCCCACCAAGAACTCAGGACATGGGCGCTAGCTCCATTTCGGAGATGAAGACATGCTCAGAGAATGCAAGTACTTGGCCAAGGCATCCACTGCGTTTTAACCCAATAAATTAGGTGCAGGTTTTTCTGGCTGCCGTAACCAAACTTCAAATATAATGGCTTAGATAAGGTGCCTGCTTCTTTTGCTGGGCAGAAGCAGTGCCGGGCTCTGCAATAATGGGCAGCCACTCCTTTAATCTTATTTTCCTGCCGTTCTGATACACTTTCCAACTCCGAGTCCAAGGTCTGCTCCAGTTCCCACCCCCATGTCTGCATTTCCGTCTGGAGGGAAGAGGGAAAGAAGGGGATGGGCAGTTTCCTTTTCTTTCCCCAGTTCAACAAGTATTTCTTGAGCACCTACTATGTGCTGGGCCCTATTCTGGACACTCAGATTTTCAGTGAATGAAACAAAGATCTCTGCCCTCTGCCCTCATAGCACTTTCATCCCGGCAGGGACAGTCAGAAATAACAACGCTGGAAATGAGTAAACTCTGGTACGTTTGAAGGTGGTAAACGCAACGGGGGAAGAAGGATAGAATGAAGTCAGGGGACGCGGGCATGCGTGCGTGGGCGGGGCAGGTTGTACTGCATAGGGGGTAGGGTGGGACTCAGCACAGGCTTGCAGGAGCCCCTGCCCTGCTGCGGGAGGAGGCGCAGGAAGGATGTCCAGACAAAGGGAAGAAGCAGAGCAAAACTCAGATGGGAGCACACCTGGAGTGCTCAAAGAGTAGCCTGAGAGGGGGAGGACTGCGGGAGGTGGAGTCAGGGTGGGGGGCATCACAAGGTGGACCCTCCGGGGCTGTGCTGTGCAAAATGGTAGCCAGTTAACTAAAATAATTAAATTAAGCCTTCAGTTCTTCAGTCACACTAGCCACATTTCAAGTGTTTGATGGTCACAGGCGACTAGTGGCTACCACTTTGGTCAGCACAGGTATAAAACATTTCCATCACCACAGAAAATTCTGTTGGCGAGCACTGATCTAAGACCTCACAGGCTGTTTTGAGGACTTTGTTTTTTTCCCTCTGAAGTGGAGGCTCCTTTCCTTTCAAGGATATTAGCAGGGAGTTGCACACTTCCTTTCTACGTGCTTCCTGTTGGACACACCTAGCTGCAAGGGAGGCTGGGAAACGTAATGAGTCATGTGCTTGGCTAAAATTTATGTGACTATCCAACTAACCGAAAGGAGCATGCCTAGCAGGGGACCAGTTAGCAGTCTCTGCCACCCCCAGTCTGGTGAACCCCAAAGCGTTCTCTTCACTGCACTGCTCTATCTTGAGTCTTGGGAGACACTTACTTCTTTGAGAAAAGAACCTGGAAATCACAGTGTGGCGATCCCAGGGTCTAGGTGATCCCTGAGGTCTAGGAACCAAGTTGATGAGCAGTCAGCTGTCTGCTCCTCCTTGGGGATTCATAAATCCAGTCCCCCAGCCTGTTTGGGGGTTCTCACAGCTGACTCCCCAGAGTCACCTGTCACCTGATGCAAGCTAGGGGCCTCCTTTGGGCCCCATCTACCTCTCCTCAGGGCTAATTGTCCCAGGACGGTTGTAAAGGAAGGTAGAGAAATTTTGTTTTGTAAGTTTAGTTTTCACTCTTCCCACTTTCTTTTTTCTTTTTTAGAAACAAGGTCTCACTCTGTCACTGAGGCTAGAGTGCAGTGGCGTCATCATAGCTCACAGCAACCTCAAACTCCTGGGCTCAGGTGATCCTCCTGCCTCAGCCTCCCGAGTAGCTGGGACTATAGGCGTGCGCCATCACGCCTGGCTAATTTTAAAATTTTTTGTAGAGATGGGGTCTTGCTGTGCTGCTCAGGCTGGTCTTGAACTTCAGGCCTCAAGCAATCCCCCCACCTGGGCCTCCCAGAGTGCTGGGATTACAGGCGCGAGCCTCCACACCCAGCCTCCGCTCTCCCACTTTCTATGCTCCCCTCGTCTGCACGGATGCTCCATACTGAACTCTTGCAGCTCCTCCTTCCTCCAAAGGAGTCAGTCTCCAGTTCCACATGGTGAGGAGTGAGGACGGAGGGTGGTGCGGTGGGCAGAGAGCAATCGTACCAGTTCCCCAGTGGTCAAACCTGGGCTGCAAGTTTGTGTTGTGAGAGCTCTTGAGAAGCCGAGATAATCTTGAGGCGGGGAGCGGCGAGTGCCTGCCTTGGGAACATCAGGGTAAGGAGGACCCTGGGCTCCCAGGGGACTAGGAATTCTGTGTTGGGACCCAATTTGCACCTCAACAGCAATCCCTACCATCCTGCCCACCTACTGTGTGACAGGCTGTGGTGTGTCCCTAGGTGGCTTATCCATGTGACCCTCCCAACAATCCGATGGTGCAGGTACCGTCACTGTCCCCATTTGTCAGGGGAAAAAACTGAGCCTCTGAGAGGATGAGAAATGGGCCCAGGACTCAGCTGTCGGCCTGTGTGACCTCACGCTCACGTGGTCAGCCAGCACGAGCTCAGCTAGCACCCGACCTCTCCTCCCTGCCACTTGCACCCAGCCAGCCACCCTCTTACCGGCTGAACCCCTTACCTCTCACCTGAGCTGCCTCCCCCCACCTCCCGCCCTGATTGGCCTGTGCGGATCCTGAGTGAGGGGGACCATGTCCTCGAGGTGCTCTGTCCACATCCCTGTCTCAGGTCCCCCGGCTCTGAAGCTTAAACAGAGGGAGGTGCAGTTGAAATCTTGCTTAAACCAAGCCATCTTCTGGGGCCTGGCCTCTCCACGGCTACTGGACCTCAGGCGAGTGACCTGCCCTCTCTGACCTTCAATTTCCTAATCTGTAAAATAGGACAAGGATACTGTTACGCTACATTCAAGACTGCTGCAGGCGTTGCAGGGGGAAGGCAGGAGAGCAGGACAAAGCAGGGATTCAGGAAACGTTGCCTCCCCTATTCCCAGGTGTTCACACACATGTGTGTACGCATTGGGGGGGTGTCCCCTGACAATTCCCCAGATTCCTTTTAGGCCTTTGACGCTGTGTTGAGGGTGTCAAGGGGCAGAGTGTCCATCCTGGGACCCCTGTGCTCAGCAGGGAAGAGAGTCAGAGGCTTGGGCGTCCAACTCCCTTTCCCTGCTGGCCCTGTGCTCGCAGACCCAGAGTCAAGACGTTGAATTCAGCACACGGTATTTATTGCCGCTCGGCAGGTGAGGGCCTGCTGGAAGACGGGTCAGGGCATGGCCCCTGCGCCCTGGGGGCCAAATGCCCTGGCCACCAGGGACACAGGCTTCAATGGCTCTCAGGCGCTGCAGATGACATGGTGTGGGGATCCCGCATGGTGGAGGGTGATGTTGGTCCCTGAGGGCAGATGGAGGAGGAGGCAGAGCTGGGGACGAAATGTTGGAGCATGGGGTGTAAGAGAGCTCCTCACCCCCACCCTCGAGACAGCCAGACCCCAGCAGAGAGGCCCAAACTGACTCAAACACGCAGCCCCATCCTTTCCCCTCCCAAAGAACTACCGTTTTCAGCAATTCCAGGAAGCTGGACTCATAGGAGAAATTTGCCAGAAGAGACTCCTTCAGCTTCAGTTGCAAAGTCATCCCTGGCCCTGGGGATCCGAAAGTACGGCCTAGGACCCCGCAACGAGGGCCGATTCCCTGGCGGCGCGGGCACCCTCTGCCCCCGCCTGCAGTCTCTCTTCCCCACAACGCCCCTCCAGAGCCTCTCGGAAGCTCAGGACTGGGGTGCCTCCGTCTCCCCCGCTCCCCTTCCCCATCCTTCCCCACCTGCTCCACATGAGCCGCCGAGGAGGGTCAGGAGGAGGATGAGAGGCAGCCCAGACCCCATCTTGCCACCTTGCTTCTGGGATGGAAGACGCTGAAGTGCCGAGGCTTCTCCCTCGGCCCGCTTTACCCCCACCCTCAGCACGGGCTTGGGGGGCCGGGAGGCCGTCTGGGCGACTGGATTTTCCAGTTCTCCCAGTGGGGCCCTCAGGACCCAGGCAGGGCCAGTCACGGGCTTTGGTGGGTGGTCCCCTCTCCTTGACCTGTGCCCCGCCCTCCCCACGTCTCCAGGCTTGAGGAGGTGGGTGCTGGCCCTACAGAAAGGGACATGGAGAGGGAAGTGGGGACCAGGGAGGTGTCCCTGCTGCAGGTATCTGGGCTCCACCCGCGCCTGGGCCTCTCGTGGCTCTTTAGGGATTAATTATTAACTGCAGTTAATTTTCTTCATTCTTGCCACCGAAGGGCTCAGGAATGTGGGCCCAAAAGGGAGGGGTGGATTAAGCCAATTTTCTTCCCAAACCCAGGTGTTCTGCTTCTCCAGCCTCAGTGGCCTCCTAGGTGAGAAATCTGAGTGACAGGGAAGTTCCACCTGTGAACGTTTAGTTTTAGTCACTCTAGCACATTCTAGATACTCAGGTGGAGACGTGAGTTCCATCGAATGTCCTCCCAGCCCCACCTTGTGCGGAGGGGATGCCCACCTGCTCCCACCCGAGACCCTGGTGCACAGGCGCTCGGAAATGCAAGCACCAGTCGGATGTGTAGAGGGAATTACTGCCCTTCATGAACAACCAAGAAAGTGAGCCAGAGACGGTAAATGACTGGCTAAGGTCACTCAGCAGGTCAGTGGCAGAGAGACCAGAATTCAGCCCTCATTGTGCCAGACACACGGGGCCACGCTCGGAGGACGGATGCACCAGCCACACAAATCTGCGGGAACATGAGCACACAGGGGACGGGCCTGTGGCTTCCCCTCTGCACCCTCTCCCCTTCCCCGAGGTCGGTGGGACTGCGTGCAGAGGGATGGGGGCAGACAGTGTCACGCAGTCGGAGAGAGAAGCTGCAGCAAGACCAGGGGAATGGAGAGGCAGAGATATGGGGCACCATGACTGTCACGTGAGGTGTCCAGGGACTCCCAGGCTTGTGCTGGAGAGCAGGGGCCACGTGGAAGAACGTGGGGACTAGAAGAGTAGCAGGGACAAGGGAGCGAGCCGGGCTCGGAGGAGGGTGGGAGCGCCCCCCCTTTCCTAGCCAGTGTACCCACCCTTTCTATAAGCTCATCACAAACACTGTTTCCTTTAATGCTCACACCGGCCCTTTGAAGCAGGTGCTAGGTCACCACCAGTTTACGGGTGAAAAACCAAGACTTAGGTCAAGAGATTTGCCTGAGGATGCACAGCCCGGCGCGGATGAGTCCAGCGCAGCAGACTCGGTGCTGAGCTTGCGGGGATCAGGGTGGCCTGGCTCCAGAGCGGGGCTCTGACTTTCCACTTTGCACTGTCCTTGAACACGACACTTGTCTTCCCTGGCGCCCCCTTCTCCCTTTTCCTCCGCTGCCAAGGCAGTGGAAAGCTTTGTGGGCGGCGGTGTCCAGGCTGGTGTTTGCCCTCCCACCCCGCCCTGAGGGCTCCTGAGGGTCAGACCCACAGTCCTAGACCCCGATGGTCCCCCACAACCCCAGCTCCCAAGCTTCCCCAAGGGACCCCCCTGACTCCCAGGGGTTGTACTTCTAGGAGCAAGAGGAGGACCTTGGATGGGACGCTTGGGTCTCCCCACGTTGAGGAGGGTCTGGGGCCGGCTGCGGGCTGCCTCAGGCCTAGGGGACAGGTCCCTAGTCAGGGAAGAGCCCAAGGGCCAGGTGGGGAATCCTCAGGCTCTTACTCTCCCCCTCACCCGGCGCTTCCTGGGATCAGCTGGGACAGGTTAATCCCCCAGGACAGCTTGGTGACCTCTCCCTGGATATGGAGATTCTGGTGTTGATGGAGGCCCCGGCACACCTGGCTCTCGTAATGGGCCCCAGAGCCTTTAAAGAGCTGGCGAGATGGGCCTGGCCACGACACGGCACCTGGCGCCACGGACGCCGCGTTGCTGCTGCTGCTGCTGGGCCTGCAGGCCGCGGCTGGACGCGGTGAGGGGAGGTCATGGGGCAGGAGGTGGGCTTGGGACCCCGGGAGATGGTTACCTCTTCTGACCCCATCCTATTGTTTTTCTTCTTTCTCCAACACCTCAGCTGACCCCACCGGGGACTCCTGACATAGTGTCTGCAGGTCTCCCCACCGTCTCTGGAGATCTC